TTTATAATTTGGCCTATAAATCCTGCTATTTTTAGCTTTTGTATTAGCCCGTTATGCCATACCATATCGAAAGCTTTAGAGAAGTCTAGAAATATGCCTACTGTGTATTGTCGGTTTAGTTGGTCCATTTTGATGTCTTGTTCTAATCGGGCGAGGTTGGCTACTTTAACCAACGTGTCTGCTTTAATACGATGAACAGTGACATTAATAAGTGGTATTTAGTAAGATATAGTTCTATCCTATAAATACGTTTCAAATCCTATTTCGTTTAACGATTGCTCTTTTACATGTTACCTATTTCAGCGACGCTTACACACAGCTCCACTTTCTGTTTTTCAAGTGATTTACGCCGAATCACCTAATTATGGTGCACGTTTCTGGTTGGCGATTGTTCATTAATGTCATGTGTGTATGTTGCATCAATAATATGTAGGTATGGCCACCGATAATGGAGTAATTAGCCTTAAACTTTGGCCCGTCTTGGCCAGACTTTTAGGCAATCCATATCGTTTCGCCTAAACAATGATCTATTGCCATGTACTGAAACATACGTTCCGTGATTGACAGATACGTCAGGAATGATTACATTGGGACAAGTGGTAAGCAGCAAATACCAAACCTGAAGTCCAAAGCGAGGCGATGGAATCTGTTGATAGTTCGTTCCAGGTCGCTTTTGCTGACGTTTGCAATGGGTATTTAACTTGGTATATTTGAATCCGCATTTTTAAACATGAACATTTCTAAATTTAATACTTATTCATTTGACTATCATATTATCGCCGAATAAGGATATATGCATGCTATTTGATAGTACGCGACATGGGATGGTCTCCTTAAAAAAACATATTAACAAGGATTGCTTTTGAGTGAGTGATTGAGTTGGGTTTAACGCCGCTTTTAACAGTATTACAGTTATATCGCGGCGTGTCAGCTTAATGTGTGAGGAAAGCCCGAAGTGATGCAGGTCTCAGACGTTAACCACTTCGCTGAAACCCACGAGCACTGGTATGGTGCTGACAAACCTAGAAACACAATCGGGGCCAATTGGGATTCGAACCCACAATCATAGGTTTCTGGCGTCCCCAAGGGACGCAACTCTGCACAATTTGAATAGATTGTCTTTGGTAGATAGAACGGATAGTAAACCATTTTCCATTTCTGAAAGGTTACATTTCGTACATGCACCAAGTGATTGGCTTTATAGTTATATTCAACTATGTGTTTTGTATATTCGGGTTATGAGCTAGGCAGTGAAATCTACACAGAGTTGTAAAGAGATCTGTCTGGTACAAGTGGCGATGTATGAAGCATATTCTTGCAAGAAAGAAGAATTTGATTTATTACAATGCCAAATTTAGAAGTTCAATACCATTGCAGCGTTGTTTAAATGTAGTCATAACACAATAGACCGAAATGTATCGATTGTTCCATGTATGTGTGGCTTCCTCTATACTCAAAAACAAAGTTACTGGTACCCCCTTTTTTCACATTTTTTGCGGGTAATTTTATGGGGCGTTTAAACTCGATACAACCGTGGTAGCTTAACATGATTTGGTGTAAAATCGCAAGTTGTATGTGATAAACATGCATTTTGTGGAGAATGGGAGAATGCCCTGGGTATTGAAACCAAAATGACACTCAAATTGCAATATTCAGATGAAGCACGTCTCGGTAACTTTTGTTGAAGCGTGAAACATTCATGATGGTGTGTATTTCCAGGCTTCCTAGGGATTTTGTGATACACTGCAAACACTAAAACGTCCTTTTCACCCAATTTTGAAAGTTTTTTGATGGGTTTTGCGCTTTTCAAGCGTTTATATTGCGCCGAAAAAGCGTCGACATTTGACACCGGAATATTTTAAATAAAAGTAAATAAAAGCGACAAAACCCTTTGTATTCATAAGATATATCTGATCAAAACAGAGTCGATTGTTCGAATCCGACTATATCCGACTATGGGCATATGTTAAGGAATCCCTAATAGTGATGATATCAGGTGTAGGCGAAAAGAGTTGTATGATGCTCTGTGAAATCTTGGTACAAAGAGCATGCTCTATTGTACCTCAAAAGTCGTGACATGTAGACACCAAGGGCTAGAGCTGGAATATTGCTCGACATAAAGGACAAATTGACTATGGGAAAGTTGAAGTCGTCCCTCTTGTCATACAGTCTTGTTGAGAGTGCTTTGTCATCTTTATGCGAAGATCTAAATATGAAAGAGATGAGGCGGTCTCACTGGTCTCCTTTATTTCTAGTTCAGGTGGGTAAATCAGTGGAAGGGAATTGGCTATTTGATGTTTATTGAACGATGTCAGATCATCGATATGCCTGAAGCTTTATACGTTAAACGTCATGGCCAAATTTCCTTGTATTGACTTTGCCAATTCGAGCAGAAAGTTCGATTCATGGGCATACAGAAAAGGATCAGAAAGAAAGGGAGCACAATTGGTGCCCATGGGGATGCCTACTTCTTGCCTCAATGTCTTACCCCCAAATTTTACATGTACGTTATCAATCAGAAAGTAAGGCATTTCACGTATTGTTTTCTCAGTAAACTTCAGACGGCATTAGCTTTCATTTGCCCCGAACCTTTGAAGAAAGATATGTAACTATATCTATTGTTATATGGCAGTGTATTGTATTGTTGTAACTGTGTTACATTGTTTCTGTAGAGCTTCGGTAAACGCTCATTGCATTGTTTTTGGATAGTGATTAGTCGTCAGGATTGTAATTCTATTTCAGGCAAGCACTCGTCACTAAGTTACTATATTTAGATGATAGAGTGGTGTTGTAACTTCCGGAAAAGGCGAGACTCGTCAAGCATTGTACAGAGACTTATAGCACTGTCTAGAAAATGAGGGAGCTAGTTGGATAGTATATAAGGGGACAAGAGCATGCCTCACGCATCTCTCACACATTTCATCTCTCACGCATTCCATCACGCCAAGACCAGCTTTCATGTGAGGAACGCTCATCTTCCCTGATTCCCTGCCGAGCCCATAAGGGAAGCTTGACCACTGTACCGCTGGGTGAATATATTTTATTATCACTGATTTTTGCTATCACCATTGTATGTTTGTATTTGATACTGGCCACTGAGGTTTTCCCTTATGTTTGTCGTGTGGGATAGTGGTACACAAAATGAAAAATAAAATGTCTTGATTTGAAAATTGAACCTGCTGGAGTTTTTTAGGATCCACATGGTATTGATTCAACTTGTCTCAAATATTCTTTGGTGAATATAAAAACATCATTCCTGGATTTTATTAAGGATAACAGTTAATTTTTGAGATTTGATATGTCATTTATACCAAGTTCTCTGACCAAACAAGTTATGTAATGATGCTCACATATAACGGTTATGTTATTTGAGAACTTGTCAGTGGGAACAACTACAAATTTTCTTGTGGGACGCTTAGACTTTGGATGACATTTGGCTGGGACAACATGAGACATGCTAACTGTAATGCCTGTACATTATATAAAAGCGTTTTATAGGTGTGAGGACTCCAATTCTGGTCATCCAGATATTCATACGTTTTAGTTATACTTAAAAGGCCTTGACACAACTTTGGGGGGAGCCAAGGAACCTTGGCGTACCGTGTAGCAAGACGCTAATCTGAGGTTCGCATATAATGCCAGGTTCTCAAAGTCCGAGACAAACATCCAGGTACCGTCGCTCAAGCGTACAACACATAAGGCAACATAATGTTTGATACTCGCATAAACTTTTATGAAGGTCAGTCTTTCAACCACTACACCAAATGTAGACTTAGCTCAGAACATCAACTCCAGCGTATTAACAGTTTTGATTATCTACAGATTCCACAATGAATGGACAACAGACCATCGAAACTATAGAAAAGGTATCCGGTATTTAGCATGAATGTTCTTAGATTTTGCGAAGCCATTTCAACCTCATAGCATTACATTTAGCCGAAGAGAATGGACCAGGCAATCAGCGGTACAGAAGCTTAGATTTATTTAGTGATATAAAACTTGAGAGGAGAGGCTGTGCCAGACCACGTCATGTGTCCTAAATCCATACCATCCAACACTTTGGTATGGTGAGTCTTCGTTGACATAAATTCTCTGAAAACGTCGGGATATATTTTTGTTTTATGCTTGGGTTAATTTAAAATGGTGACTGAGAGATCTGCTTGTGATAATATTATTGAGTTGTCACTAAACATAATTTCATATTTATTGAACGTATTATTAAAATATCCAAATATATCGATAACTGCAGTTTTGAATTTTGGAGAACATGACCTTTCAAATGACTCAACGAAACGGAGGCCATGCCTAAAAGGTCATGCATGTCATGGCTTAACTTCTACAACGGTCTAATGGCCAACCCCTCGACTGAACCACTATAAAGGCTAATTCATTTACAGAATACAGTGGTGTGTATGGTTGCAAGAACTTCACTATGGACACCTGTAACACTTGCACTGGTTACCTCACAAAGCCTGAATTGAATTCAAGATCCCAGCACTGGTATTCACATGCTACCATGAAACAGCCACAATCTAAGACCGCAACGCCTCCGTTCCGAAAGGTTTCAGAAATGCGGCCGAAGACATTTAGGTCATTGATGGTTTCAATACTGTGCTTTATCATTGACAAAAATTGTCACCAGATTTCCAATTGCCATCGTTACACTCATCTCATAGGGCACATCTGAAAACATATCTCTTCAAACTACACTATCCAGTCCAGTTCCACTCTACTTTGACTAGCAACAGATGCAAAAACATGTGAAGCGCTATGAGAATTAACTAGGTGAATAGAATCTGGCGAATTATAAATGGATTTCTTCTTCTTCTTCTTCTTCTTATCTTTTCTTCTTCTTTTTCTATTTCTTTTTCTCCTTCTTCTTTAGGTACAATGGACAGGTAATAGAAAAAATTAGGTAATCAACTACGCACACCCTATATTTCAGACAGCTGCTGTAGCGACTTATTACCAGTATTAAAAAAACACATAAACTTACTACATTGTAGAAGAAGTGGTTTATTCAAGAAATGCGAGGAGGCCATCGCATGTGCTGAAAAATGTCACATTTGAGAGATGGAGAGAGTAATACATGTTATGTTCATGCAATTTACATTTTCTCAAAATCATTGCATGAAGCACCTAAATTCCAAGATTTCTACATGTACATGCATCAGAGGGAGACTGATTAATGATACATCGAGATGGGTAAAAATAAAATGTTGACCTAAATTTTGAAACACTTATAAGTTGTGGCTAAACATGACACACGCAGGCGGTCTGGTTGTGCTGAATAAATTCTTTCTTCTGATTTAAAAACTTACTCAACGTACCTGAAAGCCTCAATATATTTACTTCACAATACTAATGGTTTCCGTGACCAAACTTCTACCATTAAGGGTAAACGTATTTTAAATATTAACGAAAAAAGCAAATAATTTTTATACATTAAAAGCGACAAAAATATTTCCCTAATTATAAGAAATCTGTCCCAAAAGCAGTGTACGATTCCGACCCATCATGAATACGTTTTTCAGAATCATAAAGCAAATGCGTGAAACACAAATATACGACCATGAAAAAGTCAGTCAACTCGAAAATAATAATTGCATACGTATGAATACATCGTGATTAGTAATATTATGTCTGGCTGCAGTTACAATTACAAAACACAAGCCCCTGATACTAACAAAAGGCTTTGTAGTAACTCACACGTCCCATTACCTCTTTACATGTAAGACACGGGCCATGCAGAGTTGCGTCCCTTAGGCGAACAAGAAAGAGTGGTTCGTAACCCGGGTTCGCTCTGATTGTGTTTCTCGTTGTTAGCACCCCGCTTGTGGGTTTCAACTAAACGACCTGCCCTTTCGGGCTTTTTCCTCACATCAAGCTGATACGACGTACCATGACTCACTAACTCACTTTATTCGTGACTGAGTGAGTGATCTGATGCCAGCTTTTAGCAACACTCCAGCAATATCAAGGCGGGGGGACACCAGAAATGGTCTCCACATATTCTCACACACTATAACAAGTCATCATCATCATCATCATCATCATCACCATCATCATAATAGTAGTAGTAGTAGTAGTAGTCCATTTTATATGCCGCTGTACTCCATGCATAAGCATACTCTAAGCGAACAGACATTTATTACCCCGGTCAATGGATCAGTGTGCATTGAACAATCATGTTCAGCTCCCTGTGGAGTATACAACCAAAGCTACCTGTTGGGCGCTAGAAGATTAACAACCACATTACCATATATGCCATATTTACCATATCATCCTACCGGGTACTCATTCACTGCTGGGTTGATAGAGGCACAATTCGAACAAAATCACTCGCGCAAGGCGACACCACATATGCTACATGTGCTTCAGAACCGAAGCCTGCCGAAGGCGGTCACCCATCCAAGGACTCTCCGTGACCGACGTTTGTTAACTTCACCCGATTTGTGACCACGTGCCACCACGTTAATGTAATATGAATATATGTAAATATGATACCAGCGTACATCAATATAGCTCTAGTGTTATAAAGATGAACTGATTGCAACCAAATGTTAAAAATATACATTGAATAAAAATATATAGATTATATCAGTTTATGTTATTTACATACATGTTATAAACATGTTAAGCTTTGTGATTGTGTGCACACCATGGTACATCAACACATTCAAGATGTGTCATTTGTGTGTCTCGTGATACCTTGGAACTAAGACGGTGCATAAATTCAAAAGTATGTTTTCTCACACTGTTGACAGTTGACAGCTTTGAGTTAGGAATGTTTAATAACTTATTGCTGCCTTGAGGTTCTCCCAGAACTCTAATTTCTCATCCTCAGCTGTTGGATACTTGATATAGGTACCATACTGAATCTCATCCTGCAAGTCTTGACTCAGACTACTGTTGTCAGGCAGTTCAGCATACCACACGACACACAGGACGTCCCTTCCGGTGTGTATGCTCTCCAGCTTGGCCATGTGGACCTCATAGTCGCACCATTTACTTTTCAGGAAGTTAGAAGACAGGACAACGATGGTTTTCCTGCTCGACTGAACCGCGTTCATGATGTTGGCAGTTATGGCTTCCCCAACCATGAAGTCCCGATGGTGTATGCAGAGTCTCAAGCCATGGTGTCGCTCAAGCATGTTACGCATGTCCTCTACAACAAACCCTCTGTCTTCATCAGCATATGAAACAAAAGCATCGTAGGTGAAATTGTCCTCCCCTTCCCCTAGTCTCTGGTATCCCCTGTATTTGCGTCTTGTAGTGTAGTACAGGTAACGTAGCTTCCACCGATAACGGTAAACTATACCAGCTGCAACTATCAGCATGAAGGCTACAACTCCAGACAGTGTTGCGGCTAACAATGGAACAACTGTTTTACACTGTTTCTGCAGCCTCCATACAATGTTTTCAATGTTGTTAAATTTCATTCTTTCTCCATTGTTTAACCGACACCTCGTATCATCAGGTCTGTCGATGGAAATGCGGGACTCCGATAGTGCTTCTAAGTACTCAAGTGTACTGCAATCACATACTAGATTGTTGCCCTGGATGTTCAAGTGAAATGTGTCATTTCTCAAGTTCATTATATGACTAATTTGATCTGTAAGATATTTTGGGACATACTCAAATCTATTGTTTGACAAATCCAAAGAGGTGAGAAACGACATGTGGCTGATCATAACAGTCCATGCCTCCATCATGTTCCAGCTCAAATCAAGAATCTGTAGATTGTTAAGTCTTTGGAATATAGGTAATGGTAAATCAAGAATGAGATTATTGGAAATGCTCAGTATTTCTAAATTTGTTAGGTTGAAAAATATGTGACCATTCATATCCGACTTAAGTGATTGATATAGGTAATTTTTACTTATGTTAAGGACTTTTAGGGAAGATGCGTACATCAAGAGCGTAGGGGAAAGTAACTTACAGTTATTATCAGTGAGATCAAGGAATTCAAGAGAATCGACGCCATGAATAGGACCTACCAATCCTGTAAAGCTGTTCCGTGACAAATCCAGTACCTTTACTTGATTGGGTTGGAATCTTATTTCATTAATGGAATAATCCAACCTACTATAGCTTAAATTTACAAATGTGACATTGGGAGGTATGATTACAAGGAACTTGTGAAGTGTCTCTGTTTCAGTGACTTCAACTGACATCATATTCTTTTGTAACTGTTCATCTACCCTAGAATTGTTCTCGGTTTGAAAGCTGACAATGTTAATGTCGTCATGAGGAACAGGTCTTTGCTGCGGAGGACGTTGGGAAGTTGCTGGCTGTTGTGTCAATTCAATCTTCACACTATTCATAGGCATCAAATGAGTTCTTTCACCATGGACTGACTTGTAACGTGGTAATGGGTCTGATGGATACTGGTTCATCAGATATATTTTACGAAGATTTGTCATTGCCCAAAGGTGTATTAAATAAGGTCCATATGTGAACCTATTACTCTTTGCTGATACGATTTGAACTTTGCGTAGTTTTTCGGCACAATGTGTGTCCAAAAGCTCAATTCTGTTTGCGTCACAGTGTAATTCTGTAAGATTCAAATTGTCCATATATCGTAAATGATCTCCTTTCAATTCAACACCGATAGCAAATGGTTTCACGATGCTGTTAAACTTCAAAACCCTCAGAGGTGAAAACTGCAGCCCGAACAGAGAGTTACCAAGTGTTTCCAAGCCAAGACCATGATTGTGAGAAAGGTCAAGCATATTTATGTTCCTCATTGGCCAAAATGCGTTGGTTTCAATAAATGAAACATCACAGTGGCTGATATCCAGGTGCCTTACATTGGGAGTATTCAGGAACGATTCATTATAAAGTGTATAAATCGAACAATGTCCCCGTTTTCCTGACAAAATAAGAGTTGTGAGATTCTTTAGTTTCGCAAATCCTTCACCAAATATGGCGTTCTTTACACCATCAATGATCAGTGTCTGAAGAGCCACCAAATCGCCCAGACATTCATCAGGGTACTTTGCATCTAAGTCCTTGGTATTTCCAGCAATATCCAAAGTATGCAGCTTTTTCTGTTGTCGAAAAGCTCCCTTTGGGTAACTTGTGCTGTTCAGAAGAATCCTGTTCCCATGAAGGTTCAAGCGTTTCAGATTTGCAGCTCCTACAAAACCATCAACATTCAGAGAAGTCAGGGCGTTGTCAGACAGATCCAGGTATTCCATGAAAGAGAACCTGCCAAAAGATCGTGCTGCCAGGTTGATGCTGTTGTTAGACATAAGGAGAGTTGAAACAGTGGATGGGATGGTTTGGGGAACCCTGTTCAACATTTTGTTCGAACAGTTGGCGATGATCCAATCCTTTGCAATTACGGTGCATACACATGGCATGCAGGTAACATTGGATGGCAAACAATGAATAAAGTTAACACTACCCAGCAGCAGGGTCATCCTCAGGATAAGAGCCATGTCTGAAATGAAATTAAACCATTTATAACAAGCAGACGAAAATGAATATACACAACTCGTCAAAAATATCGCACCACCAATTTGTAGAGATTTTAAAATGGTACACTGCCCAGCCTTGTGGGTGCGTTAATGCAAACAGTATGCACACCTAAGGGGTCTCTTTAGAGAAATTCATGTATGATGACGTCTTGACGTTCATGCGTTTTTTTACTGTTATTGACTGAACAACGCCATTGAGTCTTTCCCTTGACCTTCTCGTAGACCCGAATCCAATCGAGCATCTATGGGATCAGTGGCGACGAAGGGTTAGAGCCAAGGACCCTCCCGTAAAGAATGATCTTGATGATCTGTTCATCTCATTTCTGACAGTTTCTATTTATCCCCTATTATAATCCTTTTCACTGGCGAATAAACTTGTGTTTTTGTCTATGCAAATGCTCATTTCTCATTTGACATTCAGTGACATTGTTTTATTGCTTTAGTTTTGCTTGCCAGCTTCTCCTTATCCATCTCTTTTCTGATTATCAAAATGTCGTGGTGGTGCGATACTTTTGAAAAGGTGTATATATGAGACTGAAATTGAAATTGAAGAGACCAAACACAATTTCAAATACCAAGAGTTGGTTCAACTCTAAGAGAGACTTGTAGTTACTACCTCATGGCTTCTAAAAGGAGCGTGGTTATTTTATTCTTTGAAACATAGTTCCACTTTTTCGTTGTACTCCATACAACAGAATCACAGAATCACAATATTTTCAATATGGCTGTCTTGGTATGGCTGTTAGTAGTTACAGGACGAGGAACGGGTCTGCGCATGCGCGAAGGTCACATCCGGTTTCGGTTTGGTCACGTTACTGCGCATGCGCGAAAGGGGCATTGTGGGTCATGCGTGCGCTTCAAAGGCGATGGAATACACACCCCTTACAACATGGATACAACACGCTGTGTGGCGTGTACTGTCTCTACATGCTGACCTATCACGTGCGTGGGTGGACGTTTAATCAACCTTTCTGCCCTTATTGACCTGACACTTGTTCACTGAACCTACGATCACCTGACTGTCAACGTTCCTGTTTGAGGAGTGTACATACGTTCACTGCGTTTTAGGAGTGTACATACGTTCACACCCTAGTGGTAAAAAAAAAGAAAGAAAAAGTTTATGTTCACAAAAATCACAGTGACGCCCCTGATCCTGTGACTTTTTGATTTGTTGTGTTGGTTCATGTGAGCGGGGGATTAAAAAGTTGAACAAAAAAAAGTGTTGTGAAATCAGCATTCTCACACCAGGGAGAGAAAAAACAAAAACAAAACAAGATCGATATCTGACCGCTACCTGCATTGAGTGCATTCCTACACCACGTCCATGTCTGTGCATGTCGATTCACCTTTAGATTTCAGACGTCCGTTCCACACCATGATCGTAGCGCTAAGGTCATCGCCACTCACCTTCTGTAACTTAGACGAACGACTGCCATTGCACTACAATACGATCGCCTTGTGGAACGAGACCTTGCACCTCAAAGTTTACAATCACGTCATAATACCCGATGACATGATTTGTGAAATTTGGTTGCAAGATCCTTCGCCGATATGACGTCGATCGTCGATTGTGTATAAGCTCGTCTCAGTGATCTATCATCTCCACACGCAATCGACACATACACACCCTGCCACACCAACGGCCAAAACAAAGAACCCACCTCCTCCCGTTGACCCGTTCCTCGTCCTGTAACGGGGCCCCCAACTACTCATGTTTAAAGTCAAATCGGAAACATGTATCAGTAGATTTATTGTATACTCCAACACAATCTTTGTGTAGGATGACAATTTCTATCCCTTAATGATTAACTCTTGATCATGAATGTATTTCGCTATACAAATATACATTTTAGTCATAATACCTCATTTACCCTCATAACTGAAATTTCAGTCATAATACCTCATTTACCCTCATAACTGAAATTTCATTCATCTATTCATACTAATTTACACATTCACACACAATAATGTACATCTATTACGAACCCAAACAGACACAGACACACAGACACAGACACACAGACACACAGACACACAGACACACACACACACACACACACACACACACACACACACACACTAACACTAATTACCAATTCTAATGTTTGTGTCGATTTTTAAACACCTTTCCATTGATGGTCCTAACCTGATTGATGTAACAGTGTGAATTTACTACAAAAGCCTAGCGTTGAGGTGCAGTGGAAAGACTTAGAGCTGGCTGAGAATATACCATCGACAGGGAACATATACATGCACCAAATTACAAGTTCAGATTGTACTCACATAGGGCATCAAACTGAATCTAACCATGACATGATAATGCATTAACTGATAGGCTAGCGTACCACCAACATGTTGTCTCGAAAACATTAGTTTGATGGTTTGTTTAATATCCAGCGAAATACACAAGCAATATTTATCTGACCCTTGTTTACAGCTAAATAAGCAATATGGTAAAGATGTCATGTGATAAGAACGGCCTAGTGCAATATGCGATTTAAGGTACCGACTTTCAGTAACTTTATCAGTATGCAATGTGCAGAGTAAGGCTTCACAGAAATGATGTCAAACGGGTCGATGTCCCCAAATGTCATAAGCTAAGTAGCCATTATCAGTCATGCTGAGTCATTTACACATCAAACGTTTGGGTCAAGACAAATTCACATATCGGTTTTAGTTTTAGTTCCTGGATTGTCTGGTCGTTTGGCAACAAAGAAACACTTAGGTTTCATGCAAATTGTGTGAGTGTCACAACACACCCTCAGTGAGTTATCTACGACACTTAGCCTTGATTTTGTCACGCAGTTCCCAAAGCAGATCAGCATAATATTGGTCATTAATGGTATTTCGGGATGTAGTTCACCAGAAGGATTACTTTTGAATCCCAGAAAACCGAAACAATCACCTTGCGAGCTGATGGGGAAGACTTTTTCAACTTCTGTGGATTGGAAGAGACGTTAGATGTTTTCCTCTACTTTGACTGTTTTTTTAGTCTCTGGATGATAGTGTTAATCCCAATACTCATCCTTAGTTAAGAATCCCTCCAAAAAATTGGTTCTGCTTCAAAACGACGTAATTTCTCACGATATGTAATGAACTTGGAGTATTTCTGATCAGCAGTCAGAATCATTGCACCCCAGCGCGCAGAAAAGCTTTTTCATGCCCAGTTCATTTCTCAAAATGTTCTCAACTCTCTCATACAATATGCCCACTGCATTGACTATGGGACGTGAGTAAGCGATCACCAATTATCATATAATTTATGTTATCGACAGATTCCCCAGAGGTGGCAGGTGAAGGTCTTCCTGATGTTTGATCAGCTTCAAGGCTCTTGAACTTGGCTGACCACCTCCCAACAGCGGCAAAGGGAGGAGCGCCATCCCCTCAAGTTGACACCATGACCGCATGTATGGCTGTTGGAGTTATTGCTTTCAGTTGGAGATACTTGGTGACAGCACAGTATGTAACTTTGTCCATTTTCATCAAAAGAAAGTACCTATTCAGTTTGATACCGACAGAAATATGGAGCCAGTATCGTACTGAATACATGCAAACTGTTGAGGGTGCTCTGTCAGCCTTCATAGTTAGGCTCAGAACGTTTCAGTCACCCCTCGCATGTGTTTAATGCAAATGCATGTATAGTTATTAGTTTGGTGGGAGTAATGCATTTCATGTGTTATTAAACTAAAAAATATATATATTTTCATTGACATTCATCAAAGTTTCTTTAAGCCTCATTCACACAGACAATGCGACTGCGATGCAACCTCCTGGCGACCGAAATATTTGACAATCGCAATTAGGTTGCAGAAGTCTCTGAAAGGTTTCACTGAGGTCGCTACAAGGTTTCAGAGCGGTCGCAAAGCCCATTCGGTCACAACATGCACAAAAGACTGTCTGCGACCGATTTGGTCGCTCAGAGGTTTCATTGGTTTCCTAGAGGTCCCAAGGTGGTGTTATGTCAACTGCAGATTGGTTTCCACAGTGCGGCGAACAGTTTCGTCTACAAAAGGGTGTTGAATCTTTGCAACCTAGTGGCGACCTATCGGTGATTGATCAGTGATGAGGCAGTGATCGACTGGCGCTTCATCGGTGACTGGTTGTCGATTGGTTGGAAAGTGGTTTCCATGCGTGCGTCTATCATTCGCCGTTGGGTTTGCAACATGTGACCGTCTCTAAAAATACCTGTCTGTGCATTACATCATCATTTTGTCATAAGTACTCAGAAAGTTCACATCAATTATTTCCATTCATAACTATGGTCCGTTAAGGCAGGAAAACAAAAGAACCAGAAATTGTAGAAGATACAATAGAGACAACTGCTATGAGGAAGAAGAGCCTGAGATGTCCGATGTTGACAGGCTCCATTCGGATATGGCCCACTAAATCACCACGACTTTCTCTCTGCAACTCTGCCATCAGATTCCCATAGTCTCCTAGCTGTGGCCTTCTTGCGATCCAATGTCTCAGCCAATACAGCCTTCGCCTTGTTTGTCTCATTCTTCTGTACATCATCATGGCAGCAACTGCAGCATTTTGATATATTCTTTGCAGAGCAACTGCAACTGTTCTGCTGTTAACATCTTGACAACTTGCAAAGAAATGATTTGATTCAGAAAAGCACACTTTTTATATGCATTATGTTTTGAACGGTGATGATCAACAACTAGTCACCGACCAGTCCCCGTTCAGTTGCAACAAGTCACCGATCGGTCTCAACCAGTAGCAAACATTTTGCCGTATCTGTGGTGAACAGTTGCCAATCAATCACTGACAAGTTGCAAAACCTATTGCTGATTGATCGGAGGTCATACCCTTTTTCCAAATATTGACAGAAGTAGTTGCACCAGTCTTAGCGATCACCATTCGGTCGTAAAGGAAATCAGTCGCCAAGTGGTTGCATCGCGGTCGCATTGTCTGTGTTTGACTGTAGCTTTACATGGACTAAAAGAGCTATTTGACATGTATGTCAATTCGATGACATTCATCACATTATTGAAAATTTCTTTCACGGCTAGTTCACAAAGTCAACAGAGTTTGGTAAAGTATGCAACCGCATCTATGTACATGGTGGTCTCCTGTCGTTGCAGTTGAGCCTTCAATCGTTAAACCTGTGGTCACGTTCTCGACAGACGCGTTGGGTTAGTTTGGCAAGCCAACCAGATCTATGGATCGGAAGAGATTCTGATGGTTGTAGGGCAGGCAACAGATGTGATGGGAATGGAACCCATCCAAATTGTTTGTTCTGGGCCCCGCTGTCCGGTAGTGGTTCCACAGGACTTTAAGGGGAACATGACGTCATAGTGAACCCATGGAGTCACAACATGGGCATTGAATTCCTGACCGCGTGGCACCTGAGGTGGCATCCTTGGCGTCAATCTAGGTTTCTTGCACCAAGTTAGCAGGGAGCAGAGGGAGGCCCACTGCTCGACTAATCCACGTGTGAACTTCTGGGTCCTCTTTGTAGAGCACTTCCAGTCCAAGTGCTTGGGTTTTCCTCCATATTGCTTAGCCAAACTGGATGAAACATCCTTTTGATTCTGCCTTTGGAAATTCTTTTTTGCCTGATTGGATTACTGGTATCAGTCAGGTCAAAGACATGATGAAGATGCAGAAGGTTTCTTAACGAAAAAGTGAAAAAAACCACTCCGAGATTTGAGCTGAAAATGTAAAACCCGAAGGCGAGTGATTAGCACAAGGGCTATTCCGACCCCGAGGCCTTACATTTTCAACCAAAACGAAAGGGACGTGTTTTCTCTGACTTATATACCGTCGAAACAACATTTATTAATATTTGTTTAATATTATGTATAAACATGCATTAAGACAGTCTAAAGAAACGCTAGTAAAATATATCTGGCCAGGAAATATACGCTAAACATGGTACCTTTAAACCACTTGTTTGAATTAGTGTGACGACCACTGATCGGGAGTTTGTGGTTCGATTCTCGTGATCCATGATGAAAAAGTTTTAATTCGTGTCTTCGAATTTTAGACAATTGGACGTTTAAAACACAAGGTCCAGACTTCTTCTAAGGAAAACCTTATAGCATGGTTGAGGTCTAAAACTTCATCCAGGGTTCTGATGCCTGTAGAAGGAATAGTTTGGTTCCATGGCAAGAACCAGTATAGATGTTTATAATGTTGGCGGCATAGTGGGGGACAGGCAGAGAAGGTTCCTCGACTGACTACAGGACTCATCAGTGGAAAACACGACCATCTTTCTTCAACGCCATTATTGACAAGAGGATAAGCAGGCAACTTTGGTCTGGGACAAGGGCTCGTCTATCTATACAGTGGAAGTGGTGAGATCGCTGCTTGTCTGGCCGATACATGCCATCTGAGACATACGGGAAGGATGTGGGACTTTTAACTTCTGCTTTCACTACACTCTTGTGGTAACGATTACCAGAAAGAAGAACTTGTGGTTTTCCCTTTTACGATATGACCAACTCAAGTGTCCAAAGTCCAGGCATACATAAAACTCTGCTCTGACTGAACGGGCAAGGCATTTTATAATATGGTCCAACTATCAACAAACATGTAAATCCAAACTTACTAATAATATCTAAGTGAGTGAGTGAGTATGATTTTACATCGCTTTTAGCAATGTTCCAGCAATATCACGGCGGGGACACCAGAAATGGACTTCACACATTGCACCAATGTGGGGAATCGAACCCGGATCTTCGGCGTGACGAGCGAACGCTTTAACCACAAGGCTACCCCAACGCCCAAAAATACCTAAGAGTAAGACAATGCTATTCTACTTTGAAAACAATCATTGGCAATTGGCTGCATGGAACTGGCTTCTCGCCAATCAAAAGGAATCAAGCTCTTTTTGCTAAAAGTGTAATATCACTTAAACTTAGATATGTTCATGAGAATAGTACAGCTTGTTGTTAGAGATACTTCGTACTAGACATAAAAGGTGGATAAGAATGTTAACATTTGATAGTTAAAATTTTAAAAATAGAAATTAAAGTTAAATATAATCATTATTGATTTAAATTATACTTAACATAAAATACTTCTGATACTGACAAAACGAATGTCCTTTGTACATTTACTGTGTAATTCTTTTGGCTTGTATTTCTGATGGCCTATAGTCTCATGGTCTGTAGTTCTCATGGCCTGTACTTCTGATTGCCTGTAGTTATCATTGCAAGTATTTCTGATGGCCTGTAGTCTCATTGCCTGTAGTTATCAGTGCAAGTATTTCTGATTGCCTGTAGTTATCATTGCAAGTATTTCTGATGGCCTTTAATCTCATGGTCTGTAGTTCTCATGGCCTGTACTTCTGATGGCCTGTAGTCTCATTGCCTGTAGTTATCACTGCAAGTATTTCTGATGGCGTGTAGTTCTTATAACAAGTATTTCAGATGGTCTGTAGTCTCATGGCCTGTACTTCTCATGGCCTGTACTTCTGATGGCCTGTAGTTATCATTGTAAGTATTTCTGATGGCGTGTAGTTCTTATAACAAGTATTTCAGATGGTCTGTAGTCTCATTGCCTGTACTTCTCATGGCCTGTACTTCTGATTGCCTGTAGTTATCATTGTAAGTATTTCTGATGGCGTGTAGTTCTTATAACAAGTATTTCAGATGGTCTGTAGTCTCATGGCCTGTAGTTCTCATGGCCTATACTTTGATGGCCTGTGGTTATCATTGTAAGTATTTCTGATGGTCTGTAGTTCTTATGGCAAGTATTTCTGATGGCCTGTACTCCATATTGGACTCCATCATGCTTAGTCCATCATGACAAAGCAGAATGAGCCAGTTGGGATTGCACAATCAGTGTAGTTATTTGGGACTGTAGTTTTTATTGGGGTATTGCCATGGGCCGCCATGCTTTCACGGCGTGATGGTCCCATAAAACTCCTAATTAGGGCAGTAAAAAAAATTAAGTTAGTATTCGCAGGTTTTCAGCGGAATATTCGCAATTCTAATGCAGAACACGGTTACAAACATTTGCGTTGAAGAGTACGTTTAAAATACACACACAAGCAAGTGGCATTCCGCTCTCGAAATGTAGTTGCAGTGATAAAAGATCGTATATTTTCGTTTTGGTAATGTTTAAAGACAAGTATTATGACGTAAAACGATTATTTACAGCTGTGCTGGCAGATGATTAACAAAATACATAGAATAAAATATGATATATTCACCTCTCGACAGGGAAGAAACACACTGGTTGCTTGTCATCTACTGCACTGGGCTCAGTGTAAAGGCTGTCGTAAAGCATGAGCTGTATTTTACTACCGGCTTGTCTGGTTTGGGTATTGATTTGTTAGTGTCACGAAAGTCGTCCTTGGGGTGGAACAATGATAGCTACGTACATTCAAGACTGTCTCATATCATATTTCGCGAGGCATAACTAGAAAAAAACGACACTGAACCTCTACATTTTAACATGGCGTGTCAGCTTAAAGGGGCACTGATCTAACGCAATTCCCCGGACTGGTTGTTGCCTTTGTTATTGTTTTTTCCCCGTAAGTACCCGGATGATACGCAACGCAACTGAGCGGGACCAGAGACTGGGCTACCGTCTGCAAGGACAGTTAAATAAACTGTCATCGAGTGAGAGAGTGAGTAGTCCAGTTATAATAGTGGCGTGTCAGTATTATGTGGGAGGAAATGGGATGCCGGTCTTAGGCGTTTACCACTGTGGTGAAACCCACGAGCACGGGTGTGGTACCTGCAAACCTAGATACATAATCAGGGCGAGACGGGATTGAAACCCGCGATCATAGGCTTCTGACGTGCCAAAGGAACGCAAATAAGTCATTGCGTATTTCGGTGCATCAGACGACCCACGCATACACATAGAGCATGAATGTGCTGCACGTGAAGGCTACTCCTGTGGTACAAGACACCATGAATGTGCCGCACGTGGAAATTGGGAAATGTTTTCTTCAAGATTGCAACGAGCAATTATCTCTCATTAACCTCGCCGAGCCGTGCGAGGCCAGTGATGATCCCATTCACTGAGGGCCTGAAATGTGTACTGGCACCATGAGACTGGTATGCTGCCGGAGTGCTTATTATTGGTGCTGGCCTCACTAGGTCAGATGGAACGACCTTACAACATGTGATTGGAATTGAAAATAAAGCCGACCCACGTCGACACTCTTGATCGCCATTTGTACCGTTATTGTTTGAGTCTCGTGTTAGTGGTATGATCATGTTCAAGGATCTCGTTCTTTTACAATATGTATTCAACACAATGCATCAAAATATTGCTTACCTAACCAGGCCCGGTCTACTGGAACTTGGCACCACACAAAATGTTAAAATGCCACAATTGTTAGTTCTGTCCATCACTTCCTGGCACGACACTCCACCACTGGGTCCAGGTGTAACCGTCGGCTCGTCTCTCCCAACGCACCTCCATTGTAAGCCCGGAGTGGTCCGTGGATGTGCATGGATGTGCAACCGTCTGCACCGTTCCGGATGTGCAAACGTCTGCACCGCTCCTCCCAACGACTGTAATCTCCCTCACAGTGAACGTTCTCGTGTAACCGCTGCACAGCCAACTCTCACTAGTTTGCTCTGACTTGGCCTTTCGTATTCACCGTGTCGGCACTGACCATGTACCACCTAGGAGGGATTCTGTGCAACCGCTGCACACCGCCACTTCACTTGTGCAACCTCTGCACAACGTCACTTCACTTGTGCAACCGCTGCACAACGCCACTTCACCTGTGTAACCGCAGTCACTTCACATGTGTAACTCTGCACAACGTCACTTCGCTTGTGCAACCGCTGTACAACGCCACTTCACCTGTGTAACCGCAGTCACTTCACTTGTGTTACTCTGCACAACGTCACTTCGCTTGTGTAACCGCTGTACAACGTTACTTCACCTGCGCAACCGCAGTCACTTCACTTGTGTTACTCTGCACAACGTCACTTCGCTTGTGCAACCGCTGCACAACGCTACTTCACCTGCACAACCGCTGCAAAACGCTACTTCATTCGTGTACTCGCTGCACACCGTCACCTGACAATGCTACACTAGATCATTCTTACCCACTCTTGTATAATAACAAGATCCTTATTAGGACTTGTTGTAATATGAACTCCTCGACTCCCTGAATCTGAACTATTCCCCCCCCCCACCCCTTGCCCACTTATATAATAATTGTAGGTGTCTTAATAAGTTGATAATTGCTGTAATTTCATGCCTATAATACGACCCCTGATCTAACGAAGAGTGTGGCCCCACACTTTAAGATGGCGCCAATTCTTGTTATAATATCTGGTATACATTCCATCATATTTCTATGACTTATTGATTTAACTTCCCTTTAATTAACTAAATATATATTACACTTTCATGCCTATTATACTTACACTCAAAATCCGTTCAACTTCCAGGGTTCAATCATTAAAACAGTGGGACTGTACCTAGATGAGGTAAGTGTACCTGGTGGACCGGTTGAGGCAGATGACATAGAAGCCTATGTCAACTTGTTTGAAGGAGCCAACACCTGGAGAGAGGACAGAGGCAACGATATAGAAAGAACAGAGTTTTAATTCGGCAACGCCCTGTTCGTCTTCAATTTAGAACCACTCTATTGAAGATAGTTATGTAAACTTAGTCAAATTGGGTAACCTCAGACTCGAAGTACAATTCAAGACGGCTCTCACTAGGACACTGAACGCTAGTCACCCGCTCTTCTTGAAGTCGATCAAACGCGTAATGTGTTTATCAAGTAAACAAGAACATGAACAAGGAACAGCTACGGTGTGCCATTGACAACGATCCCATACTACGTGTGGTGGGAGTGTATGCACGGGACACTGTAAAGTAAACAGCATCCACAATCACAGCGAGAATGGGATGTTTACTCAACACTCATCGTTCCCGTTCAGGAGTACATCGGGTGGCCATGTATTTTGCAAATAAAAATGCAGAAGTGTTTGATATTTTTTTGACACCCAGCTAGTTTCTAATATCAAGACTTTAGTTCGTTTTTTGAAAAAGCATTGTATTACATTTAAAGATAACACCCAAATGCTACAGCAGTTTGTATGGATTGTATTGCTTATATTATTTGCTGCAGAAATGTAGTACAGAAATATTACTCGAAGGTATTGCGTCTACCTTTACACTCGATAAACTTCCCAATGATATCTATGTATATAGAGGTTATCGCGCGAGTGTGTTTGGGGATGGTAAATATCCTGCATTAGGAATAAACATTGTATTTAGCGAGCCTTGGCGAGCTGAATACATAGTGTTTATTCCTAATACAGGATATTTACCATCCCCAAACACACAAGCGTGATAACCTCTTTATCATATAATGTCATTCTTTAATTCTGTGCTTCAAAATCGCTTTCCCTCTCTCACAAACATTACCGAAACATTGCGAGTTTTCCTGGAATGCGCGCATTATTATTTATTACGTCACAGGGTAAGTGATGTGTCAGTCGGACAGTGACAGTAGCCAATATAGTTCCAACTGAAATCTGTTTCTTATACAGTGGTGGAGCAACATATACGCAAAACAACAACTGTTTTTAATTGCCTTACGCGGCAATCCATCGGTCTGTCCGCTAGAGTAACTGCCCTTTGTCAAAGGGAAGCTACTCTAACCCTAGTCTATTAAACGTCACGGCCACGGTCAGACCTTGTTGACAGTCGGTCTGTCCTGTCATAACGTAAGAAGTGTAGTCAGATGTACACACAGGGACAAAACGAAATAAGGTAATAATTCAAACATATTTCGGCCAAATGCAACTATTTTAATTTGTGAAGAAGGTTTCAAGCCGCAGAGGTCTACAAGCACAGATATGCATATGGCTACTGATCCCGCTTGGCTAGGCCTCGTGCCCTCGCAAAATTGTTTCGAAATTTATATCTCCAAACTTGCCAAAACTTATAAAATGCCTTAGTTACGTCACAGTTAGACACTGATTTTCAGTATTTTAGACTGTTCTTTGGATAATGATAGCAATTATCCCTGTAGTTTATCCAGATTCCCGATGGTTAATTCTGACTCGATCGCCGAATGACGAGGGCGACGCCATGTTTGTTAATAAACAGTAAAAGTAGTCCCTGCTTGACCTTTGATATTTGCATCTCTATCCGCATATGACCCCAACGGATATCGTTTTTATCCGTTGGCTTTATCCTGCCGAGAAACCTACCCATTATATATGTGATAAATCAATATATATGTCAATATTTTCAAATTGTATGACTTCAAATGGCCACTGTATTCAATAAACTGTTAACATAGAGTCATGGACTTTTTTGTTTTGTATTGAAAGAAACATCTATGTAATCTGTTTGTTTGAGCTTAGTTTTCATTCTAAAGTGAGACGTCGTAAGCGAAAGACCATGGCGCGATATGCGTTAAGACATTACGATTTTCTGAGGCACATAATAACATTCAATGACAGACGTGATATTTTAGAAGATGTTATTGGTATGACCAGGGAACGGTATTAGCGGTGGTGGCCATTGTCAGGCGGTTACTTGAGAATCGGTTAGCCGTGACTAGAAATGAGAGGCGGATGTTTCTTCAAAGAAACCCCAACAATCCCTATTTATCCGTATTGAGACAATGTGTACAACTGAACCCAAACGCAAAAGATTGTTAATCCGACACACGCTACTAATACATTTCATCTTAAAACCAAACCATATCAACAGTGTAAGAGATGAAGCGGTCAGACGCGCGAGGCTTCTAGCTCGTGCTACGGCTTAACTAAGCAAGCATATAGCCTTGGTATTAAGTTCTGGTCGAATGTTACCTAGTGGAAAAACCTATCTGACTAAAAGAATCTTGCAGAGTGAGTGAGTGAGTGAGTGAGTATGGTTTTACGCCGCTTTTAGCAATATTCCAGCAATATCACGGCGGGGGACACCAGAAATGGGCTTCACACATTGTACCCATGTCGGGAATCGAACCCGGGTCTTCGGCGTGACGAGCAAACGCTTTAACCACTAGGCTACCCGACCGCCCCGAATCTTGCAGAATGCTGATGTGATGTTTAATAGGCCACCTAACTTGATCGTGTACTGTACTGCAGTTTGGCAAGACATGTATACCGAAATGCAAACGTCTCCAACGAACGTATTGTTTCATGAAAACCTACCGACAGAAACGGAACTGTACTCTTGGTCTGAACAATCTGATGAAAATATGGTCTTGGTGCTGGATGATTTAATGATGGAAGTATGCAAAAGCCGTCTC